TTAACATTTTGAATGTGGTTTATTTTTCTAGCTTACCTACATTTCTTCTCAAAGGCAATCCAGCAGAGTAAGTGAAGAAGGAAAAATGAGCTATTATTCCTTTCTATGAGGGGGCTAAAACAAGTTGGTAAAAATATGGAATTAAAAGATAATGGAATTTTTCCATGAACTTTTGAAGTATCCTTGCATAAATGAAAAGGTAATGCATGCATAGGGTTAGAAAACCAGTGGAGTTGATAACTAACTATACATAAGAGAGTGAAAAGAAGTCTAAGGAGTAGTTAATATGAAGTATCAGACATATTCAAGATGAACAGTGCTACTGGGAAAATAAACACTATTGAACAAGAGTCAGTTTATTTAGACTGATTATCAACTTACTACAGCCACCTCATGGTTACGAATTAGGCTGACAATTTCAAGGTCAGCATTTCAAAACTACCAGCTGTTCCATGGAAGAAAGATGAGGCTTTCTGCTCCTGTAAGATTTACAGCCTTGAAAACCTGTACAGGGTCGCTGTAAGCCGGAACTGACTCCACAGCACAACAACAACACCACCACCACAGCCACCTCACTTAACACCTATGACAGATGAAGGTTGCCTGATCACAGGTAATAAATGATTATTTTTACAGTTGTCAGGGGAGTCACCTACAAATTCTATAACTTTTCTGTGACTGAGTGAGATAGCAATAAGCTAAACTTTGGATCTATCACTCATATGTCTTATTGTACTACTATGTCTTGCAATGTTTCTGTGATATTGGAAGATATACTACCAGTATTTCAATTATCAGCAGAGTTGCCAATGGTACACAGGTTCCAACAGAGCTTTCAGACTAAAACAAACACGGTTAAGAAGGACCTGGCTGTTTACTTGAGAAAAAGTCCATAAAGACAGTGCTTTATATCCTACTTTGGTGAGATGTGACTGGGATTTAAAACCTCATAAATGACAATCTAATGTAGAACAATTGGTCTATCCTTGTCCTGAACAAAGAAGAGGAGGAAAATTAAAGGTATCTAGAAACAATTAGTCCAATGGACTAGTAGACCAGTGGAAAATCCTTTTGCAGGGTCCGGAGACCAGAAGCAACCACTACCAACTTCTCTGAAAGGGATCACTCTGAAAGGGTAGCATGAGAGAAAATGTGGAACAAAATATAAAATAATAAAAAAGACCAGGCTTACTGGTGAGACAGAATTTTAGAATAGAATTCATCCCTGTGGCTCAATTTTTAGCTCGCAACAGACATTTATACAGGGGTAGGGAGAAAACACTAGTGAGATATGCACAACACAGAATGGAAAACCATTTGAGATAAAAAGAGAGAGAGAGAGGATGACAGCATTTACCTAAGGGCACATTTCAGAATGGTTTGCAAAGAAGGCTGAATAAAAACAAGAAACACAAGGAGGAAGTGGGATACGTGGTGTTACATTGAGAGGAATGCAATTATTGAGATGAATAAAAGTATGTATGATGTGTTGAATATTAGCTAATATTAACCTTCACTCTAGCCACAATAAATTAAAAAATATATATATTGGCCAGTGAAAACTTTATGAATAGCAATAGAATACTGACTCAAACAGTGCCAGAAGATTAGCCTTTCTGGCTGGAAATCACTCAAAATACAACTGTAGAAGAGCTGACTCTTCAAAATGGAGTCAACTTTAATGACATGTTTGGGACTTTTATTTCCTGATGTGACATGACTCAAAATGAAAAGAAACAGCTCCAAATATCCATTAATAATCAGAACATGGAATATATGAAGTATGAATCTAGGAAAATTGGGAGTCATCAAAATTGAAAGAGAAAGCATAAAGATTGATAGATATCCTAGACATTATAGCGACAATCATATTATCTACTATACTGAAAATGACAAATTCAAGAGGAATGGCATTGTCAAAAAGAACATTTAAGGATTTATCCTAAAATGCAACATTATCAGAGGATAACATCCACATACCTACTAGGAAGAACAATTAATATGACTACTGATGGCTTACGTAGTGGTTACGGATTGGGCTGCTAACCTCAGGGTCAACAGTTCGAAACTACAAGCTGTTCTGTGGGAGAAAGATGAGGCTTTCTGATCCCATAAAGATTTACAGCTGTGGAAACCCTGTACAGGGTAGCTATGAGTTGGAACCAACTCCATGGCACATAACAACAACAACAAAATTTAAATTTACCTACCAACAATTAATGTGAAATGTGAGAAAATTGAAGATTATTACCATTGTATGCAGTTTGAATTTGATCAAGCATGTGATTGTTAACTAATAAAAATCAAGATGCATGGATAATTTTAATTTTAATTGGCAAGCACATGATGGAAACAAAGATGAGTCAATAGTTGGAGAATATGGCCTTGGTAATAAAAACTACTCTGGAGATCTCATGATAGAATTTTATAGGACCAATGTCTTATTAATTGTGAATATATTTTATTCAATAGCATAAACTGAGACTATACACCTCAAAACTACTAAGTTTATGGAAAGAGATAACTCAGAAGCTCAATGTCATAGACCAGAATGAGGAACTGACCATCAATTGCTCATATGCAAGTTCAAATTTAAGATGAAGAATATTAAAATAAGTCCACAAGAGCCAAAATACAGCCTGAAGTGTATCCCACCTGAAATTAGAGACCATCTCAAGAACAGATTTGACATACTGAACAATAATGACCAAAGAACAGATGAATTGTAGACTGTGATCATACGTGAAGAAACCAAAAAGTCATTAAAAAGACAAGAGAATGACAAACAAAACTGGATGTCAGAAGAGACTCTGAAACTTGCTCTTGAGTTTTGAGAAGCTAAAGTGATGGAAGAAATGATTAAGTAGCAGAACTAAATGGGAAATTTCAAAGGGCAGCTCTAGAAGACAAAGCAAAAAATTATAATAAAATGTACAAACACTTGAAGTGAGAAAACAAAAAGGGAAGAACATGCTCAGCATTTCTCAAGCTGTAAGAACTGAAGAAAAAAATCAAGCCTTGAGTTACAATATTAAAGGATCTTATGGTCCCCCCAAAAAGGTTGATGTTCTACTATTTTAGAAAGTAGCAATACTCAATAATTGATGGTATTGAAGGAAGAAGTCCAACACGCACTTAAGGAAATGCTTTTGTTTTGTTTTGTTAAGGTCTCTAAGAATTGATGAAATACCAGTTGAGATTTTTTTAAACAAATGTAATGCTGGAAGCACTCATTCATTTATGCCATGAAATTTGGAAGACAACTACCTGGCCTGTCTATTGTAAGGGTCCCCATATTTATGTCCATACAAAAGAAAGGTGATTCAACAGAATGTAGAAATTGTGGAACAATGTCATTAATATCTCAGGCAAGTGAAGTTTTGCTGAAGATAATTCTAAAGTGGTTGCAGAAAGAAATTGAATTCAGATTCAGAAGACCTGGGAAGAGGAAAATCATTGCTGATATTAGATGGATCTTGGCTGAAAACAAAGAATACAAGAAAGATGTTTATTTGTGTTTTATTGACTCTGCAAAGGCATTCGACTGTGGGGATCATAACAAATTATGGATAACATTGTGAAGAATGGGTATTGCAGAAGACTTAATTGTGTTCATGTGGAACCTGCATAAGAGCAGTCATTAGAGTAGAAAAAGGGGATACTGTATGATTTTAAATTAGAAGAAATGTGTGTCAGGGTTGTATATTTTTACCATAATTATCCAATGTGTATGCTGAGCAAATCTCAGAAGTTATGTTGATGTACAAGAATGTGAGGAATCAGAATTAGTCGAAGACTCATTGGCAGCATGGTATATGTAGATGATATAACCTTGCTTGCAAAAAATGAAGAGGACATGAAGCCTTTACATTAAATATTAAAAATTACATCCTTCCATATGGATTGCATCTCAACATAAAACAAAAATCCTCACAACTAAACCAGTAAACAACATCATGGAAAGCACAGAAAATACTGAAGTTGCCAAGGATTTCACTTTACTTAGATCCACAATCAACATTCATTGGAGCAACAGTCGAAAAATCAAAGGATGTGTTGCTTAATGCCAATCTGCTGCAGAATGTATGGCCTTGTGGGGTAAGCATTGGACTGCTAATCACAAGGGTGATGGTTCAAACCCACCAGCAGCTCCTTGGGAATACTATAGAGGTTCACTATGAGTTGAAACTGACTGGAGACACTTAACAACAAAAACAAAATGTTAAAAGATTTCATTTTGAGAATTAAGGTGCAGTTTCAATTGTCTCAGATGCATTCAAAAGCAGGAGAATGAATGTTGCAGACCAAAAAAGTACTGATGCATTTGAATTCTGGTGTTATTGAAGAATATCGAATACACCATGGATTCCCAAAAGAATGAACAACTTTATCTTGGAAGAACTACAGCTAGAATGCTCCATGGAATTGAGGATTGCAAAACATGTCAACAGGAAGGAACAGTTCCTGGAGAAGGGCATTATGTAAAGCAGAGTGTGAGTGAAACAGAGGAAGACCCTTCATGAGGTAGATACAGTGGCTTCAACAATGGCCTCAAAAATAGCAAGAATTTTGAGGTGCAGGATCTGGCAGTGTTTTTTTCTGTTATGCTATGATTTGGACCCAACTTGATGACTCTTAACAGCAACAAACTTTGGAAATTCAAGAGTTTGCTTAGGTAACTTTGTGAAGTCATAACACTTAGAGTGGATATTCTTAGAAAATGGGAAATATTATAGTAGAAGATTTTATACACACTTTTATTTCTTAAGGTAGTCAGCATTACTTACGCCACTAGATCAGCTTTGAGATTATGGGATGATTTGGAGGTATAATAATTAAACTCGTGAGTAGAGGCACATCTAGGACATTTCATTCCTTAACTGCAAAGATAACAAAGAAAGGTAAGCAAGTCCAGTCTTGTACCTTATTTCACCTTCTCTAATGTGACCTGCCAGTTCTTCAATAAACTTCTCCCCTTTCATCCAGTAGATCATTGGTCCAGACTCTCCACTGAATCCGAAGAATGCTTTGCAAGGTATGTTCAGGGGCTTACCTGAGAATGACAGAGAAAAATAAATGAGCAAATAGCACTTGGTTATCACTGGGAGACAGGAAGGGGCCACTTAACATCCAGAGGAAAACTCTGAGGTGACCCATTTTTCAACTCTTCTTCCAATCATCTTTGCATTATACATGAGAACAATTTTAAATAGTTATGAGGATTTCTGAGAAAATTTAAAATTCAAGGTTTTATGAAAAAATGAAAAAGTAAATAAATTTATTCAGATTTTATAACTGCTTATTCTTACTGCCTCCATCCTAGGAACTTATATAAAAGAATAAAATTGAAAGAATCCCTTTTTAGTTTTCTCTTTTGAGAGTATTAATTACTGTTTACTTTCTAATTGGACTTGTGTTTGAATCTACTATTAATCAAACCTGTAAGTTAATTTTTGTTCAGTGAAAATACATCATATAATAATAGTTTTTCTAGTACCATTAAGATTATACTAGGGAAATATGCTTATTCTAAGAAAAGTTGGATAATGAAAACTAAAAGGAAAATTTTAAATTAAAAAAAAAATCTATAAAAAGTACATATAAAGAAGTAGCCAGAAAGGAGGTGTTTTCTAATTTGCAGTGGCCAGCAAGTCACAATGCAGCCTTTTGAACAGGAAAGAGTAGGCCAAGAGAGGACTTCCATATCAGAAGTCTGATCAATCGTCAGAGACAATGGTGTGAACATTTCTTTTTTATCCTTTTATTTTCCTCTGTTTGCCCACCTCCACTCTGGAGACCAGAGGGGATATCTGAGTGAGTGAACACCCCCCAGGGAAGGTTCTACTATGCATGCATAAGAATCTGCAAATCAAGGATCATTGGGCACAGAATCAAAGAAAGGGGAACATGTTTGGCAAGCCCTGGGCTGATTCTTATTAAGGGAAACACCTGAACAGGTTTGAGAGGAGATGAGAGAGGCAAAAAAGGAGAAAAATGACCACAAAAAAAGCCTTGACTTACATCATAAAGTGCAATGAGAACATCTTGAAATTTCTCAGGCAGCTTTGAAGGCAAGAAGCCAAAAAAGGGGCACTAAAGTCTGGTGTGGAGAAAAGACTGAAGTTGTCAAGGACTTCATTCTTCTTGGATCAACTATCAACACTCGCGGAAACAGCCGTCAAGAGATCAGATGACGTATTGCATTGGGCAAATCTGCTGCACAGGAACTTTTTTAAAGTATTGAAGAGCAGAGATGTCAGCTTGAGGACTAAGGTGTGCCTGACCCAGGCCATGGTATTTTCAATAGCCTCATATGGATGCGAAAGCTGGACAGTGAATAAGGAAGATCGTAGAAGAATTGATGCCTTTGAGTTGTGGTGTTGGAGGAGAATACTGAAAGTGCCATGGACTGCCAAAAGAACCAATAGATCTGTTTTGGAAGAAGTGCAGCCAGAATGCTCCTTGGAGGCCAAAATGGCTAAACTTCGTCTCTCATACTTTGGACATATTGTCCGGAGGAAACAGTCGCTGGAGAAGGATGTCATGCTGGGTAAGGTGGAGGGTCAGAGAAAAAGAGGAAGACCCCTATCAAGATGGATTGGCCAGGTGGCATCATTGATGGACTCAAGTGTGGCAGTGGTAGTGAGGTTTTCCCAGAATCGGACATTGTTTCATTCTGCTGTGCATGGGGTTGCTATGAGTCTGTTCCTGACTCGATGGCACTTGACAACAACAACAAAGTCTAGTGTGGCGCTGTGGGCAAATGCCAGGCTGCAAAGTCATTTTAACTGCAAAGTTGGTGGTTCAAGCTCACCAGCTGCTCCTTGGAAACCCAACACAGGGTCACTATGGGTCAGAATCGAGTCAATGGCACTTAACAACAACAACAACATAGTCTTACTAATATTTTGCTACATTTTTTTCTGAGTTGTTATGCTGGTTTGTTTTTTGGTGATTTGGGACTTTAGTGTCCAGTCTTTTTCTCCCCCCCCCCATCTTGGGGGGCTTTTTCTTTCCTTGCCTTACCCAACAGGAGACAACAATTGTAGTCATACAGCCAAGCTACAACCACACCATATACAAATCCCACCATCTAAGCAAGAACCAGTACTAGTGATTATATACAAGAAGAGCATAAATAACCAACACCTACTAAAAGCACTCTGAGTTGAGTAGTAAGAGAAGTGAAAAGAGAAGTCTATCTCTTGATCAAATCTACCAGGAGGCAATCAAAGTGCTTAAGAATATACCAACATACATCTAATTTTTGAAAATACAATAGTACCACAATGCCTAAGGTGTCCTGTTAATTGTGGGTTAATGTACCAGACTGCAAAGTCAATTTAACTGCAAGGTCAGTGGTTCAAGCTAACCACCTGCTTCTTGGAAACCCTATATAGTGTCACTATGGGTTGGATCAAATTCAATGGCACTTAACAACAACAACAATGCCTAAAAAGGAACAGAAAATGTTTGCTCATGTGTAGAAGCAAGACATAACCTATAATATCAATTAAAAGGAGTGCAGGCTTTGGAATGGCCCGGTAAGGAATTTAGGAGAATGATATTGAGGAACAGCGATGTGTACAGAGATTTCAACCCAACAACAGCACAGTACATATTCTTTTCCAGTACACATGGAACATTCTCCAGAATAGACCTTGTGTTAGGCTACAAAACCAGCCTCCATAATTTAAAAAGCATCAAAATATTACAAAGCATCTTCTCAGATCACAATGCTATAAAATTAGAAATCAACAACAGGAAGATCAAGGAAATAAAATCAAATACATGGAAACTGAATAACACCCTGTTTAACAGATACTGGGTAGTAAAAAATAAAAATAAAAGGTAAACATTTTAAATTCTTAGAAATAAATGAGAATGAAAACAAAATACAACATACCAAAAACTTTGGGACACAGCAAGACAGTGCTGAGAAGCAGTTTATAAGCAGTAAATGTACACATCCAAAAAGAAGAAAGAACAAAAATCTTCACATTACTACAACATCTATAGCAATTAGAAACAGATCAGCAAAGTAAATCTACAGTCACCAAAAGAAAAGAAATAATAAAGATTAGAGCAGAAATAAATGATAGAAAACAGAAAACCTATAGAAAGAATCAACAGGACAAGGAGATAGTTCTTTGACAGGATTAATAAAATTGACAAACCATTGGCAAACCCAATGAAAGAAACAGAGAAAAGACACAAATAACACACATAAGAAATCACATGGATGATGTCACAACATAACTAATAGAAATAAAAATGATAATAATAGAATACTATAAAGAGTTGTACTCCAACAAATTTGAAAATCTAGAGGAGATGGATACATGTTTAGAACAACACTACTTAAAAATAATATATCACAACCAAGTGGGATTCATATAAAGGATACAAGATGGTTTACCATTAGAAACATAATCGGTGTAATTCACCATACATTAAAAAAAAAAAAAAATGGAAGAGAACCACATGATCATGTCAATTGATGCAGAAAAGACATTTGACAAATTCCAACACTCAGTCCTGATAAAAATGTTTAACAAGCTAAGAATTGAAGGGAAATTGCTCAACATGATTAAGAGCATATATACAAAATCAACAGCCAACATTCCTCTCAATGGAGTCAAACTAAAAGCTTTCCCTTTGAGAATATGAAAGGATTTTTATCACCACTCCTTTTCTATTTTGTTTTGGAAGTCTTAGCCAGAGCTATAAAACAAGATCGAAATTAAAAGCCATTCAAATTGGCAAAGTCCTGGTGTGACGATGTGGGTTAATGCACTGGACTCCAAAGTCAGTTTGAACTACATGGTCAGTGGTTCAGGCTCCCCAGCCACTCCTTGGTAACTATATACAGGGACGCTATGGGTTGGAACCAACTCAAGGGCACTTAACAACAACAACAACAACAACAAAAATTGGCAACGAATAAATAAAACTCTATTTTTAGATAATATGATTCTTTACACAGAAAACAACAAAGACTCATTAAAAAAAAACAAACAGACAAAAAAACCTACTGGAACTCATTGGAAGATTCAGCAAAGTAGCATGGTACAAGATCAATATACAAAAATCATTCGAACTTCTCTGTACTAATAATGACAGCTCTGAAAAGGAAATTAGGAAAACAATACCATTTACAATAGCCACCCAAAGGATGAAATGTTTTAGGAGTAAATCTCACCAGAGAAACAAAGGACCAATATAAAGAAAACCACAAAACGTTACTACAAGAAACCAAAAACGATTTACAAAAATAAAAGCAAGTACCATGTTCCTAGATAGGAAGACTTAACATTGTGAAAATGTCAAAACTACCCAAAGCAATCTACAGATATAATGCAATCCCAATCCAAATTCCAACAACTTTTTTCTTTTTTTAAGAGATGTAAAAAACGATTAAAAACTTTGTATGGAAAGGAAAGAGTCCTTGGATAAACAAAGGACTTCTTCTTAAGAAGAACAAAATTAAAGGCCTCTTACTCCCTGACTTCAAAATTTACTACATGGCAACAATGGTCAAAACAGCCTGATACTGGTACAATGAAAGATACATAGATTATGGAACAGAATTGAGAACCCAGAAGTTAACCCATCAACACAGAGACAGTCTCTTCAAAAGATGGTGCTGGCAAAAGTGGATCTCGATATGCAAAAAATTGAAACAAGACCTTTATCTCACATCATATATAAACAGTAACTCATCATGGATTAAAGACCAAAATGTAAATCTCAGAACTATAAAGGTCATCAATGCTAAAATAGGGACAAATTTAAGGGCTCTAATACAGCACTCACATAGACTATTAACATTGCAAAAAATACACAAACAAAAGAAGACAAAATAGATGACTGGGACATACTAAAAATTAGAAACTTATGTGCATCAAAATATTACACCAAAAGAGTAAAAATGGAGCCCACAGAATGGGAAAAAATATTTTGCAACGACATATCAGACAAGGGACTAACCTCTAAAATCTATAGGAAACTACAACACCTCTACAAGAAAAAGACAACCCAGTTAAAAAATGG